CACACGATTACTGCTCACATTCACCTTTGATCATATTTTCAAAAAGGCCAATCTCCTTTTTCCATTATCCCATACAAATTGTTCTCTAACCCTGTGAATATGCCTTCCGTCTCATTTCCACTATCTTTATAAGTTGAAACGTATCGTTCAAATCTAACCTTTCAGTTTCTTTATTTGTCAATGCTTTCTCTTCCGGTTTCATATCCAAGTTCAAATATATTTATTACCACAAATGGCAATCACTCACCAGGTTACTATTTAAGACAAATGAAAACTATTAAGCATACATTTAGCTTAATTATATTCAGTTTACATTTTCTTATTTTACTTATTTTTAATTAAAATATATTAACAACTTTAATATCTCTTCTGAATTACACAACACAATTTTAGCGACGCACACCTTTGTGCGAAACCTTGTGCTTGTTTCAGTTCCAAGAATACTAATAAAATACCGTAATAACCCAGCTGGTTATTGTCCTCGTGAAAATAAAGGGTGACATCATCGCCGTTCAAGAAATTCTATGGACAGGACAAGGTCTGAGGCGAGTAGATCATTGTGGCATTTACGATAGTTGCCATACGTAAAGGAACGCAGGTTTGGTGTGAGATTCGTGGTGGGAGAGACTCCGTCGCCGAGTACTGTCATTCACTCCGGTGGATGAACGTCTAGCCACAATCCACATCAAAGCAAAGTTCTTCTACATATCGCTGATTTGCGCTCATGCCACGACGGAAGAGAAGGACGATGTGACCAACGATGTCTTCTATGAGCGCTTGGAGCACACCTATGAGAGCTGCCGCCGCCACTAGGTAAATTCTGCTTCCACGAGGAAACATCCCCAAATGGGTTGAAAATGATCGACTTCGTCGAGGCCCGAAATGTGGTTATCTGTAGTACTAGATTCCAGCACAAGAGAATATATCAAGACAACTGGCTGTCTGCGGATCGGAAAGCCACCAACCAGATCGATCATGTTGTGATAGACGCAATATACATCTCCAGAGCTGGCCGACAGAAAGTTCTACGAAAAAATGCGTCGACTCACAGAATGTTTCAAGACCGTAGTATACTCTTGTAGAACCCAAGAGTGTGATCTTGTGATCGATGCCCAAAACATTCTAAAATTATTGAGGGAACACTTCTCCAGCCTGGTGAATGGCAGTGAATGCATAATGCCAGGAAAAGGAGAATCCGATTCTCCAATCGAAAACGATGGATCAGACGTTCCCTTGCCCGCCCATGAGGAAGTTCGAATAGCAATTACCCATCTGAGGAACCACAAATCGGCTGGGGCCGATGGATTGCCGGTCGAACTATTCAAACACGGCGACGAAGAACTGATAAGGAGCATGCATCAGTCTCTTTATAAAATATGGTCGGATGAAAGCATGCCCAACGATTGGAATTTAAATATGCCCTGCCTAATCAACAAAAAGGGAGACCTCACAATATGTGTCAACTACCGTAGTATAAGCCTTTTCAACATGCCGTATAAGGTTCTATCGAGCGTATAGTATGAAAGTGTGGCTTTAGACCTTTCAAATTAAAAACTAACAAGACAATGCGCCAAATCTTGGAAAAGACCCATGAAAAAAGAATCGACACACATCACCTCTTCATAGATTTCAAAGCTGCCTTTGACAGTACGAAATGTGAGCGATGTCTGAATTTGGTGTCTACGCAAAACTAATACGTCCATCAGGATCAGAAAGAACATTTTCGAGCCGATCGATGCCAACATTGAAAAGCAAAGTCTTCTCTCGACGAACAAAAATAAAACTCTATAAGTCACCCATTATTCCAGTCCTGCCATTTGGTGCATAATCATGGACGATGACAATATCTAACGAGTCGACGTTATGAGTTTTTAGAGAAAGGTTCAGCGGAAGATTTATGATCCTTTGCGCGGTGGATACGGCGAATATCTCATTTGATGGAATGATGAGCTGTATGAGATGGACGACGACATTGACTTAGTGCAGCGAATTAAAGGACAGCGACTATGTTGGCTAGGTCATGCCGTCCGAATTGGCGAAAACACTCCCGTTCTGAAAGTATGCGACGCAGTACCCGCCGGTGGAAGCAGAGGAAGAGGAATACCTCCACTCCTTTGGAAGGACAAGGTGGAGAAGGATCTGTCTTCGTTTGAAATCTCGAATTGGCGCCACCTTGCGAAATGAAGAAATGACTGGCGCGCTGTTGCTAACTCGGCTATAACCTTTTTCTTTCTATGCCGGTAAAGAACCAAGAATAATGATTAAAACAAGTAATTACGGTTTGTTTTTGTTTGTTGGGCAATCACGCATTTGATCACAAAATCATATTGCCTAGCAAATGCTTTATCAGGGTTGTTTGATGATAAATGTACTGCAAATTCAGCGCTTTCAAATGATTTACGCAACATAAAAAATCATTCCGGTATGACTAAAGTTTTACAAAAATTTAAAATTATTACATGCGGTGAACTTGGGACTTATACTATGTTCGGACCGACAACGAAAACATGTTTTCGTGGCAAAAACTGGGTTTCGCACGAAAACTTGTGTTTTCGTCCATGTAAAATCTGTCAAACGAAAACACAGTTTTCGCTGAAAACTAATCGAAAACTTACATTCCACTCATTATAATCGGTGCCTGCTCTAGTTTAATCGACGTTTTTGGAAGACATGTTTTGCCGGCCCTAAATTGTCACTTGATATTTGTTTACAATCGAGATACAAATACAGCTGTCGCTTGATATTCTCATATGAGGGCGATTCTCTTGCTCTTGCAAAACCTTGCACCGTGCAGAAATTGCAGAATTTTCCCTTTGGTGCAACGGCATAACAACAGACACACGCAGAAAATTGATTGCAATGGCTGTAAAATATGTCAGACCAAAACCCATGTTTATTTTCCTGCCATCATAAATCACTAGATTCTGCAATGGGTGCTCTCTTGGCTTTGCATATTTCGGTAAAGGATTTTTGCATTTTGTGTCATCGTGCAATCTTGCACGAGTAAGAGAATACCGCTTTTAATAGTTGTCAGTGAAAACTCATCGAAAACACACATTGTCGGTCCGAACGATTTAGACTCCACAATATACAAATGTGTTTTCAAAATGTTTTCAATGTCGGTCCGAACATAGTATTATTGCCCAAAAACCTAAAAGCATTCACTTGAAGTTCTCGATAGAATGATATAATATCTAAATAATAACCCCAGTGTATTCGGTGTTGCATATGCAGCTCAAATTAACGTATGCACTTTTTTGACTGTTGGAAATAGAATGCCTCTTTAAAGAGGATTTATCAAACATTTTCTTACTGAAATTATTGTACACAATAACGATATATTTAAAAACTCTTGTTTAAAATTTTATACATAATAATCAGGGGTGTTGTGGAATCCAAGACAGAATTGCTTAGCTGTCAGAATTGCAAACCAATTCTAATTTTTATTGGTGTCACAGAATCTGATTGGATTTTTGTCTTTTCGAACATACGCAAAACCAATATTCGAATCAGCTGTTTACTAATGTGACAAAACTTGCAAATGAACACATTTGGAAGCAATCCTATTAAAGTTTTTAATGANACGATCGTAACTAAAAAAATCATCTCATCACGCTCTATTTTTATATGTATTATAGGTTCTCCATAAGTATTTAAAAAGTGTGAAGAATTTTCCAGTATTACAGATAAATAGTTGGTATCGTTTCTCAGAGAGTGTGGCCCTAGGCTTGAAACAATTAAGGGTGTTCTGCAAATTGCAAACCAATTCTGATTTTTAATGGTGTCGCAGAATCTGATTGGATTTTTGTCTTTTCGAATATACGCAAAACCAATATTCGAATCAGCTGTTTACTGATGTGACAAAATTTGCAAATGAACACATTTGGAAGCAATCCTATTAATGTTTTTAATGAGTTCCGAATTAAAGAAAGATTTTAAGAGATAAAATTTATTGAATCAATAAAGACGCATTTGTTTCGTTTTTTATGTTTACGATTTTTCTTAATTGGTGGGCAGGATAGAAAAAAAAAAAATGAACGTCATATGGAATTGGGGCAAAGTTTATTATCTTCGGCATTAAATTATCTTCTATTTAAACTAAAAAAAAAAAACTAAAAAATTTAATGTGAAGACTACTATATTTAAAGTAAAATTTTTTCAGAATAAAGTCAGGTTTTTTTTAACTTTAAATTTTTTTATAATTTTAAACTTTTATCGTAGTTTAATTTGAACATAAGTTATTAAACAATATGAATCCCTTTGAATTTTTTGTTTGCGAAGGAAATCTCGACTTGCATCCTGCCCGCTCTGGCATATGCTCATGCGAGAAGCCTCTGACAATTGCTTCCCAACGGCAAAAGGTAAACGATTTTGTATCAAAAAAATGTGCGGATGGTGTTTAAATATATAACTATAAACCCTAGAAATTTCACTTTAATCAATTATTTATTTCCTTCCCAAAAAAAACCTCAACAAAATCGTTTTTTAAAGCCTCTAAAGCAGGCCCCTTAAACACCATTTTTTTCCAAAACTCAATAATTAAGACATGTTTGTTTTATTGTTATGTTTTCTCCTATAGAAATAAATGTAAATTAATTCGAATCAAATCTGTGGGCGACTATCTTCTTGATTTGTTTCTGACAGCAAAACCGATAAAATTGGTTTCCGTGACACCCAAAACCGATACAAATTTTGTTTCGAATATCAAAACAATAATATCTGAATTCATGACACCTACTGCTTTTTTTTATCGGTTTCAAGTCTGATTCCGACAATTATCAGATTCCACAACACGCCTGAATATTTTTAAAAATGTACTGCAATATACTTATATGTATTTGCACTGAAAGTTACTAAACATTTTTAAATAAGGTATTGCAACTTGAAACTGTGTCATTTTTGAAATGACTGACTGCATATTATAAATTAGTAATTAAGAAAATCGATTTTATTTTCTATTTGAAATTACTTACAAAACATTTTTTCTTAATTTATTTCAGGATAGATTAAATGACAAAGGATATTCCACACTCAAATAGAAAATTACTAACATATCAAAACCGAAATCGAGTTGTTAAATATATGATGTTTCAAAAAATCGATACGACGTAAAGAAGTAGCTAAAAATACAGCATTATTTATTGTCTTCGCCTTCACTTTATGCTAATCCGAACAATGAACTGAATTCCAAGCTTTTGCTTTATGACTATCATATATAGCTGTTTTCCTGGCTTATATTTATTTAGCCCAGGCACACAAATTGTAAATGACAAAGACCATCAGAAGACTCGTCTAAGCTTGCAGTTAGATTTGATTTATTTTTCCGTTTTTTGAGCAAAAGTTTTGAGTGGTATCGTATGACTGTGAAAACAGTCAGAACAATACAACAATCAGATTAAATAATGCTTTTACAATAAAAACAATAAATGTTCCGAAAACATTTTATGTCCCTCCATGCTATTTCGAAAGGACAAGGAATTATGGCGTTATGCGTCAAAAAACCTGTCAAGAGATTTCGATGGGATGAACAATCCTCATCAACACCTCCTTCAAACGGATCTTCAATACCAGAACTTGCAGCAATACCAGAATTCATTTTGTCATACTATGATTACATCAAACACGCTAACATCCAATCTCGAATATATTGGTTCGTTTACGGAAGTAAGTTACGAACAGAAAGCGAGCAATTCCCAAAGTGGATTTACTTGTGGAAACGATTGCGACGCTTTCACCGTCCTTACAAACGAAGAGGGACAAGCTCAAAACCAAAAACACCTCAGGCGCTCGTTGGATTACTTACCCAGATTATCCCATTGTTCCCTCCAATCGAACTTGAAGAACCAGTTGAATCCAACTATATCGATAACGAATGTAACAACGGCTGCTTCAAATACAAATACGGGAACATTTACGGCGACAGTAAATATGCTGCGAAATTGTTGTGGCGTCAGCGGTCTGCCGACAGATTATCCCTCAATCAATTCAATTTCCCATCAAAACGAAAAACCAGATGTAGGCCAAGAAGCAGTAGATGGAAAACAATTACAAAAGTCTCAACAAATCTTTCGAAAGCTTATGAAAATGCTCAATCGGCAACAACAAGGGGAATTATTGGATTCAGTCAGATGTCGAAAAGAAATGTCTGCTTCACACGATTCCCAATGTATTTTATTAAAACGATCCTTAATTTACAAAGAAGAGCCACATGTGATTTGTTGCCGATTATTCCTCTGGCCAAATTTGAGAGATGCAACAGAGCTGAAACGTTTGCCAATCTGCACAGCCGACCGATACTCTATTTATGTTTGCTGCAATCCTTTGCATTGGTGTCGGGTCCTCGAAACAGGTAAATGATTAAGTAATTATGTAACAATAATAGTTTCTCAATGAAATGGGACTTTTTCACACCTCTCTAAGGGGTCAGTACGGTAATCTGGCCTGTTTTTTGACAGCTTTGTTTCATAGAAATTTTTATTCTACAATAGAACTTTTTCACATATCATGAGGTATATCGTGGAGTGTATAAACAATTTTTGTCGGAATTTTTTGATGACATCTGTCGGATAAATTCCTGGATGAATAAGATACGTTTTTTTTTACTGGCGGACACGATTTCTCACGTTTGGATCATCTGAACCTGAACAAAAACCTAATTTATTCTTAAAAAGTACGTGAATGGTTATCGTCCAGACTAGAATCATGGAAAAATGTTGATAAATCATAAGGAAATTAACGTTTTTTTTGTTAATTTTTCCCCATGCTTTTTACATACATTTTATCATAACATTGTCAATAAATTATAAAAAATTATTAAAGGTTGGTTTCTACATTAATTCTAAGGGTATAAGGGAACAGAAAATGCAAAAAAATATAATTTTGGAAAAAGATTACCCTACTGACCCCTTAAAATAATTATATTTTAATGCCATTAAATAAACCGTCTTATTCTAATCTGCGAAGTCTTTTTGCGTTAGTTTTAAACATTTATCGAAATAACTGTAGTTTAAGAAAGTTCTGAAAAACGAGAAATTTGTTAATTTTTGTTCTCGATTTTATTCTATCATACGCATCCATTTGTTAAAAATAATCAGAAACTAAATTCAACCAATCCTCCAGACCTGATAAAATATTAGCTTACGAAAACTTTTTGAGAATAGGAAAATTAGTGGTTTCTACCTTTTTGAAACCAGAAATATAGTTTTCTGGTGGACCATGACACGCGGATTTTCTTTGGACACGTTGTTTTCAATGGGGCAGAATGGTAATTTTTTCGGAATTGATCTCTTTTAAGCCGTTACTTGGCACTGCTCTGCGTTATGTTTTCCCATTTAATAATTTACAATAGCTTTTATTATGAAAGTATATTGTTTTAAATAATTTTAGCTCTAAAATTTACTTATGCATATGATTTGAAGTGAACAATAACCAAATATTTTTATGTGAATTCGTTTTTCAGAACACTTGTACACAGACACTGTACGAAAATACCACATCTTATGGCGAATTTTACTTAATCTGGGTATTATTGTATTTTATGATTTAGGCCGCTGGCTTAAATCTCGCTTTAACTATCCATGGCATTGATTCTACTACATTTGACATCTCTGCAGATGTGATGCTGTTTCAAGCAAATACTATGTGTTCTATTGCTGAGTAGCAGTTCTGTTCTGTTCTTTCTTTTGCTTCCCTCAAATATTTAGCCATATTCTAGTACACTCGTGGCCATGCAAACCTTACCACTTAAAATTTTGAAGTGTTGTGACAACACTTTATAGCGGTATTAAAATTTTTTATTGAGAACAAAGTTAATGACATGTTATTTATCGGAAATATTAATAATTTGAAACATAGTGAGCTTTACAAAATGAGTGCGAAATGTAAGACACGACATGTGATGAAAAACTGATATTTTTAATTTACTTTCTTTTACTTTATAAATGAAATTAGTGTTTATTTTTTTAAAAACAATAAAAGCTGCCGCTTTTGTATAACCACAGAAAAGCCAGTTTGTGTTTTACTCCTTAAACGTAATAAATTGAAAACTATATTATAATTAGCTTATCCCTTTCAGACCTAGGGATATTTTTCTTAATAATTTCGCATTAGACGTTGGAATATAATTTTTTTTGGAAATATGTGCCAAAATTAACCTGAAAAACGCTTCCAAAGTGTCCTTTTTTAAAAACAGGACATCGCACTTTTGTGGTATTTAGGTTATAAGCTGTAAAATATCTCCTCAAAAATAATAAAGGATCATTTTTAAAATTTTTTATTTAACTCAAAAATGTTCTAATACTTCACTATTTTATAAAAATCATTTTAACTTTAATTGTTTGAATAAAAGAAAATAAAGTTAGGTTACTAAGAAATAGAAAGCACTTTGGTAGTCCGAAAATCTTGCAGTCTCCTCTGTATTCCATTCATGAATTATAGATTGCCTGATCAAGAAAGTGAAAAAACACCTTGACAGTCCATTTCTTTGTCTTCATTTTAATTCTGTAATATTCGAGCATTTGATCACTCCCTCCCATAAACATGTTATACAGTCTCCGACTGATACTCATCGCGAGTGGACGTATTTTCTGACTATCTTTTCTCTGTGGTGCTCCTTCCCGCTAAGCATTATTCTTGTGCTCGTAATTGCATAGTTGTAACAACACACGAGTTAACTTCACTACAAGTGCCTGTGCTTTAATTATCTCCAATGGCCCCCGGGAAACCAAATTTGGGGGACAATAGGTTCACTTTATTAGCTGAATGTCCCCAAGCCAAATGTAAAAAAAAAAAACAATATATAAACC